CTTAGCACAGCAGAATTTTCTACTTGTTCCCTCTAAAATGCCTTCTAATAAGTCTAATCATTGATTAGGTTGCCAACTGGAGCATTAATAATGTTCTAAGTGCATGTCCCACAGGAGATCTGGTGTAACCAGCATTTGGTCAGACTTTGATTGGGTCTTACCTGAAGGGCTGCAACAGCCTCCTTACAATCTACTGGCCTTAGGTGGGCGCAGTCGGGCAATCCTTTACTATTTGGTCCATGTTCCTAATTGTATTGACCTTTGTAAGCTGTGATCTAATTATGTCACTTCTCTGCATTAAAACGGACCATGATTTCTTTTGGCCTAAAAAATACTCAAATTCACATCTTGGACTAGGCTATCGACCCTCCTCTCTGAAAATCCTACCATGATCTAACCACTCCAGAGGCCTATGGGGTCTTCTTCCCATTTCTCCAGATGACACACTGACCTTTGTTCCCCTGGGAAACTCCTGAGTGTCTTTCAAGCATCACTTCCAACTTGAAACCCTTCCTCATACCCATCACAGAAGCACATTTAATTGTTTTCTTCTCTATGAGTCTAGAACACTGAACAATTCTCTTGTATTGACCAGGACCTTTGGCTGTCAGTTTTGGAAGTCCAGCTTAACTGACTTAAGCCATAAACTGGGATTTATTCACTCAGGTTGCCAGACTGCACAGGGGCTGGGCCTTAGGGTGACTGAGACGAGGGCCTCGGACCACATCAGGGATTCTCCCTCAAGCAACTGTCTTTGTGGGACAGAAATGATAGACACTGACTTCTCCAGATTTGCATCTATACATACTTGGAACCCGAGGAGAAAAAAACTTTTTCCCACTAATTCCAGTTATAAAATTTAGACAAAGCATTCTAGTTGGCTGGCTCAGTTCCCAATAGCGTCCCCCTGGCTCTCTCCATGAAGGGAGAACTGGGCATTATGATTCACCCAGACTGAGTCAAAGTACCTCCTGCTCTAATCTGGGAGTAGCACACTAGTATTGGGAACCCCCATCAGGACCCCTTCTTGGCTTTATGGTGGAAAAGAAGCAGTGCTCCAAAACAAGAAAATATAATCAAAGAAGGGATCCCAGACAGGCAAAAAAAACAGGCATCAAACAAACAGTTTTTCGAAGTCTGTAACTAGTAACACTCACATGGTGTTGTAATTATGCATTTGGGTGAGCCTCTCTGACTAGAGTCTGAGCTCTAGGAGGTCAAGTGCCCCATCTTTCTCAGAGCCTGTCGCCAACACCCAGCAAGATACCTGATGCCAAGTTAGCACTCTGCTAATGTTTTTTTGTTGTTGAAATGATAGAATGGATACCTATACAGCGTGAATATAACATCAAGTGAACGTGATCACAGAATTCCATAGAGTCGTGAAGTTAGTTAAATGAATGTTTATAGAACCTCTTTAGTTGACAGGTCATTGAGGGATTCAATTTAATTAAAACACAAGAATCTTTGAGATACAGCTAATATTTATTGGGTCCATCCTATTAGCATTTTTTAAAAGCCACTTAATTCTTACCCAAATCCCATGAGTTTATAGGAACCACCCCTATTTTAGAAATTAAGCAGATGGGGACGCCTGGGTGGCTCATTGGGTTAAGTGTCTGCCTTCAGCTCGAGTCATGATCCCAGGGTCCTGGGATCGAGTCCCACGTCGGGTTCCCTGCTCAGCAGGAAATCTGCTTCTCCCTCTGCCTGCCGCTCCCCCTGCTTTGTGCTCTCTCTCTCTCCGACAAATAAATAAATAAAATCTTTTAAGAAAAAAGAAATTAAACAGATGAAGTTAAGAGATCCTTGTGTTTTCCCATGTTGTCAGGTAATAGACTGCTGCAAAGGAGTAGAAAACTCAGGCCCTCTGATTCCAAGTCTATTGCTGTGTTCTTAAGCAGATTATTTAACCTCTCTGAGTAAAATGGGGAGAAAGACACTTATTTCTAAAGATTGTTGTAAGGAAAAAAGAAGAAGACATAAAATGCCAAGTGCAAAGTGTGCTCTAGATTAGGGGATCGATAGATAACAGTTGCTATATTTGTCAGAGATGGTGGACGACTTCTTACGATGTCAGACTGGAATATATGAGACCTGTTCTCTCCTTGTCCTACATTCCAGGGACTCATCCTGCATTTTTCTCCTCTTTAGTGCTGCCCACTAGCTTCTGTCCCTTTAGGACTGGCCATAGAGCAGTTTACAAGCTCCTGGGCTCCCCCTTCCTTGCTGAAGCCAAGCACCCAGCCTCCCTTTGCTGCCTCAAACAGCCTAACTCTAGTTCAGGAAAGAAAACTACCGGGAGACTTAAGGATGTGTGGATCCTAGACCTTGTTCTGACATCAATTAGCTGGGTGATATTTGCACCGCTGTTCTTTCAAGTGTGAAATGAGGGTGTTGGAGCAGAGAAATTTCTATATTAAATTGTATTATGCCAAGGAAATTTCAGTAAAAATATTTTCATTGTAAAGTCAAGCAATATTACTACCCGGTTTAAAAAATAGTTTTAAATATTTCTCTATCCACCAAATAAATCCACGTTGGATTTGCCTAAGCTTAAATCCATTTTTGTAACTTTTAACTCTTCCTTCTTGTTGTACGTCTCGGCAGGGATTCCGTGCCTGCAGCAGGCATTCAGAATCTTCTCCTGAATATAGATTCCAGGAAAAGCTGAGGCACAGAGGACAGAGAAGAATAGCGTGATGACATTTCTTTAGGCTCACTGCCTAGACTCACTTGGCCTGCTGCCTTATTCTCATTAGTCCCACTGACTGAATCTGATTAGCCTACCCTGATTTATTTTTGGTGACCTGGGAGCACATGGGTCAATGCTTATTTTCATGGCTGACACAACCATCCCCAAAGCTGTCTTTAGATTTTGGAAGATTAGACCCTTTCCCTGGAAGACTGTGCTGTCTATGAAGTCTCATGACCCATTAGATACATATTTCTTCAACACTTTGCAAAATTGAGTCTATATATCCCTCTTTTCATTATCACAAAATTTTGTTATTGGCTATTAAAACATAGAGCAAAAAATTCTTAATAATTCTGAAGTTGATGTTTGTATACTTACTGTTTTCTGAGTTAGTGAATCCGTTTCTGTAACCAATAATAAATAAAAGCTAGAGTTCAATGTTATTGGATACTGGATGCTTGGTTTAGCCTCACGGTTCCACCTGGACCACTGGCAATAATAGTGGGTCATATGTTCTGTATGTTTGTTATGTTTCCCAAAAGTACACAATTTTAAAAGCCTACTCATGTGTCTGACGATGAGAGACAACGTGAAGAAAAGGACATTTTAAAAGTCAATCCGTACTGACTGATCCATATTATAGAGACCATCCTAGGACTATCCAGATCACAGAGTACCTAACATATGCCAGGCAGTGGTCCTGGAGCTAGAGATGCAGCTAGAAATAAGATACAGTCCCCATCCCTAAAGAACTTAGGGTCTCATACGGTTAACACAATTAAGTCTACTAAATGTTAACATAGAATTAAATTTCTATTAATGGCCAGATATTCTTTACAAATACTAGGACCTGTAAAAATTAAATTAGATTTCTAAAACAACTAAATAATCAGAAAAAAAACTACGTTTTTAGGTACATTTTTGCCTCCTTTAGGATACTGATATGTACTGTATGCTTGATTTGGCTACTGACAACATGGGAGGTACAATTAGATTAATTCTAAGAGGCATATGTCCACATATAATTAATGCAATCAACAATTCTTTCATTCATTTAACAGAGACTTACCAGTTTATACCATGTGCCAGACTGAGTGTTAGGAAAACAAGTCAAGAACGGAATGGAAACAGACATGTGGATGTAATGAAGCTCAATTTTGGTACTTGTGTAGTTCAGTGGTTAAGAGTCCAAACTAGATGGGTGACCTTGGGCAGGTGACTTAGTCCTTCTGAGCCTCGGTTTCCTTAACTATAAACTGAGATTGAAAAAAAAAAAACCTATCTCATCAGGTCATTTTGCATATTAAATGAGATGACTGTGTTTACAGCCTGCCTAGCTTCGTATCTGGATCCTGGTAAGTCCTAAGCATGTTGTACAAATTGTTCTGTCCGCCTTTCACAGAAGCGAAGTCTGAAGCTCAGAGCAGTGAAACAACTTCCCTGGACCCCACATACCCAGAAGATGAATTAAAAACAAAGCAGCAGTGATACAAAGTATACGAGTCTTGTATACGAGTCTTGTGTGAGACCAGAGAGAGGCAGGACTATTCTGCCTGTACAGTCAGTATGGGAAAGAATCAGGAAGGAATATTTACACCAACCACACCATGACTTTTCAAGTATACTGTCCGTAAACACTGATCTAGACGCTTAGAACAGTTTTCATTCCCCTTAACCGCTGCCTTTCCCATAGATGCCAGTGATCCCTGGTCTGGTTCCTTCTTCAAAGAGCATGTTAGCCTCTCTTATTAAAGATTGGCTAACCTCCAAGTGAGGAGGATTATCACAGGATTCTCAGTCCCGACTTTTTTCTTTCTTTCTTTTTTTTCAGAACTGACAGGTGAAAGTGAGAGAGGAAATAACTGCTTTGTGACATTCTTCTAGAATTCTCCTAGAACTACCACAGCATTACTCCTTCCTAAGTAAAATGGAGTGCTCCATCCATATACTTTTTCCAGCATAGCTGAAACCAAGAATTTCTCTGCAAATCGAGTGCCAAGATGATTTTCATTCATTTCATTCTTTCCTCATTTCCACGATGTTTATTTTGTGTTTATTACATGACACAATCCATGAGCTGGGAGCAGTTTTTTAATGGAGAAGAATCAAAAGTAAAAGCCTGAGAAGATCCTTAGTCATAAGAGGGTCAATCTCTCTCTTTCTCCTTTTCCTTGAACACTAAAATACCTGTGTAATGCTTATCACAAACATTAGTTTTGGGAAAATGAGCTCAGAATAATTTTATTGCTAATGATCTCAATTTGACCTTCATTTCCTTTTGTTTTTCTCTTTTCTTAAACAGAATGCCACAACATTCCATGTAACTGTTCAAGATGATAATAGCATCGTTGTCTCTTTAGAAGCTTCAGATGTCATGAGCCCATCATCTGTGTATGTTGTGAAGATAACTGGGGAATCAAAAAATTACTTCTTCGAATTCGAGGAATTCAACAGCACTTTGCCTCCTCCTGTTACCTTTAAGGCTAATTACCATGGCCTTTATTATATAATCACTCTGGTAGTGGTAAATGGAAATGTGGTTACCAAGCCATCCAGATCAATCACTGTGTTAACAAGTAAGCATCATTTGTAATGTTGTCCTCTGTGTTTCTTCTTGGGGTATATTCTCATGGGGCTCTCACTGAAAGAAAGTCAGCCCAGGATGGCAAAACCAATCACCTTGAAGTCAAGTGACATAAATTCAAAGTTCTGCTTTATATTGAGAATACAGTTTCTTGCCAACGTTTGAAAGTGTTTAACTGTTACCTTTTGTTAAAGAAAAATCTATTTTAAACCCAAAAAAGTAAACCTCTATGAGATAGTATATTTTAAGACTGAATAATAATTTTAGATTCATGATTGGACCATGTAATTTTTTGCTATATAACTGAATAGTATGATCATAACTAAGTTATTTTTTTCCAGAACACATACTCTCATGTTAAGCCATTTGGGTTTTGAGACAAAGAATTTATACTCATATTTAGCCGGCTAAAAATTAATTATACATTTTTAGCTGAGAGAGAGAAAAAGATATTATTTATCGGTTTCTATTCTTGACCTCACCCTCCAAATAGCCTTGGCTTCCACTGCCCAAGAAAAATACCAAGAAAAAACAAAACATTGGCATTTTAACCTTCAGTATATCATGTCTTAAAGCATTAATGCTGATATTAGGAATTTTTAGGAGTAATTTTAACTATATGTGATTTTCACTTTTCTCTCTGGGACTTTAATGCCTAATCTCAAAGTAAGATGCAACTTTACTGTATATGTTGATGTATATGTTAGAAGAAAAACTGTTATCTATAAGATGGCAGAGTTTACCACTAGAGCAATTTAATGGCTCAGTGAAGTTCTTTTTGCTTTTTGTTCCTCAGTGCAAATTTTCCAGTGGCTGCGATTTTTTAAATGCCAGCTCCTGGGGCACCTGGGTGGCTCAGTCATTAAGCGTCTGCCTTCGGCTCAGGTCATGATCCGAGGGTCTTGGGATAGAGCCCTGCGTCGGGCTCCCTGCTACGCGGGGAGCCTGCTTCTCCCTCTCCCACTCCCCCTGCTTGTGTTCCCTCTCTCGCTGTGTCTCTCTCTGTCAAATAAATAAAAAATCTTAAAAAAAAATAAAAATAAATAAATGGCAGCTACTTGCAGTCATTTTTGCCACAATTAAGGAAAAGGACATAGTGATATTGTTCTCTCAGGATAAAAGGAAAGAGAAACATCAAGAAGCAAGAACTCAGAATCAAGCTAGAAGGTATATTTTTAATATGTCTGTCAAAAATTAATTGACAGTTCCCTTGGCAGAGTCCCAGAATCAGCATTGAATCCTAAAAATTAGGAGTGGAATGGCATAAACCCAAGACCTTCAAGGTTTATAGATATAATGAGCAAATCTAGGACCTAGTAGAATTAAAGGAAGAATCCGCCTGTTCTAAAGGACTGTTTTAAATAAGTTGCAGAGAGAGGTGAACTGGGAGTTAATAGGTCCAGGCAGCAGATCTAGGTAAACAATGGCTATAACACAATTCCTTGAAATCAGAAGCTTTGCCTTCCTCATCTTCATAATCTTATAAGCACCTAACATGAACTTTACACTTAATAAGTGATCAATAAATCTTAATTCAATTCAGTTGAGCAAGTAACAGGAGAAAGAACCAGGGGGATAAAAGACTAAGGCACAAAGCAAAATAAAAGTGTACTTACTGTTGCTGACCTAACATTCATTAGCATGCACTTAGCCACTCCAGATCAGAAAAAACTCTAGCAGTCAGCCCTTTAGCTAATGGTTCATAAAGACATTTGATAAGTAAGTGAATGATAAGTAAATGATAAATAGGTACATGATAAGAGATTTCCATAATATCTCATTGACATTTTAGTGTATGCAATGAGTTGTGTTCAAAATATTTTTTTATTTTCTTTTGTAATTGCTTTTTCGACATGTGGGCTTGGAAGTGTGTTGCTGAATATCCAAAATTTTGCAATTTTTCAGAGATCTTTTTATTAATTTCTAGGTAAATGTGATCAGAGAACATACTTTATATGATTTCAATTACTTTAAAATCATTGCAATTTGTTTTAGGGCCTCAAATGCGGTCTGTTTTGGTGTGTATTCTGTGAGCACTTGTTGGTAAAGTGTAGATAAATGTCAATTAGGTCAGGTTGGTTGTTCAAGTCTTTTTTACCCTTACTAATTTTCGGTCTACTTGTTCTAATAATGATGGATAGTAGTATGTGAAAGTTTCCAAATATATCTATGTTGTCTATTTCTCCTTGTACTTCTTTTAGTTTATGCTTTACATATTTTGAACTTTATGTGAAATTTGAAGCTTTTCATCTTTACCCTTTTAAGATTACTATGTCTTTTTTTTATTGAAGTGTAATTGACATATAGCATTATGTTAGTTTCAGTTATACAACACAATGATTTGATATTTGTATATACTGCAAGACGATCACCACAATAAGTCATTACCATTGTCACCATTCAGTCTCTACTTTTTTTCTTGCAGTGAGAACACTTAAGATTTACTCTCTTGACAACTTACAAATATGCAATACAGTATTATTGACTATAGTCACCATATTGTACATTACATACCCATGACTTATTTATTTTATAACTGGAAGTCTGTACCTCTTGACCCCCTTCACCCATTTTGCCCACCCCACAAGCCCCTTTCCTCTGAAAACCACCATTCTGTTCTCTGCATCTATGAGTTTTGCTGTTTTTTTGCTTGTTTTTTAAATTCCACATATAAGTGGGATCATACAGTATCTGTCTATTTCTGTCTAACTTATTTCACTTAGCAAAATACCCTTAAGTTCCATCAAGTTGTTGCAAATGGTAAGATTTCATTCTCTTTTATGGTTGAGTAGTATTCTATTGCACACAGATACACCACATCTTCTTTATCCATTCATCCATTGGTGAATGCTTAGGTTGTTTTCAGATCCTGGCTATTGTAAATAATGCTGCAATGAACATAGAGGTATATCTTTTCGAATTATATATATCTATTTTATACATATCATATATATCTTTTCAAATTAATGTTTTTTTTCCTTTGGATAAATATCCAGAAGCAGAATTGCTGGATCATATGGTAGTTCTATTTTTAATTTTTTGAGAAATCTCCATACTGCTTTCCATAGTGGCTAGCCTAGTTTACGTTCCTACAAACAGTGCACAAGAGTTCCTTTCTCCACATTCATACCAATACTTGTTACTTCTTGTCTTTTTAATAATAACCATTCTAAGAGATGTGAGGTGATATCCTGTAATGGTTTTAATATGCATTTCCCTGATGCTTAGTGATATTGAGCATCTTTTCATGTGCTTTTTGGTCATCTGTATGTCTTCTTTGGAAAAATGTCTAGTCATATCCTCTGATAATAATAATAATAATTAGTAATATAATAATTAGTTATATACATAATAATTAGTGATATACATACATACACTAAATAGCATCCTTTCTTTTCAGCTTAGAGAAGTCCCTTTAACATTGGACAATTATCACATGGTTTCATTCATATGTGGAACATAAGCAATAGCATGGAGGATCATAAGGGAAGGGAAGGAAATCTGAAGGGGGAGAAATCAGAGAGGGAGACAAATCGTGAGAGACTATGGACCCCAGGAAACCAACTGAGGGTTTCGGGGGGGGATGGGGTAACAGGGTGATGGGTATGAAGGAGGGCAAGTGTTGTGATGAGCACTGGGTGTTATTCGAAACTAATGAATCACTGAACACTACATCAAAAACTAATGATGTACTATACAGTGACTAACTGAACATAATAAAATAAATAATATAAAAAATAAAATAAAAATAAAAGTGGAAGTCAGGTTAAAAAAAATTTCTTGCAAGGACAGTTTGGTAGTGATGAATTCCTTTAGCTTTTGCTTGTCTGAAATTTTTTTTTTTCTCTTTCAAATCTGAATGATAACCTTGACAGAGTATTCTTCGTTGGAAGCTTTTTCCTTTCAGCACTTTGAATATATTTGCCACCCTCTTCTGGTCTGTAAAGTTTCTGCTGAAAAATATGCTAATTTTTTTTTTTTAGATTTTTTATTTATTTGAGAGAGAGAGGGAGAGAGTGAGCACAAGCAGGGGGAGTGGCAGGCAGAGGGAAAAGCAGGCTTCCCGCTGAGCAAGGCGCCAGATGTGGGACTCCATCCCAGGACCCTGGGATCATGACCTGAGCTGAAGGCAGATGCTTAACCGACTGAGCCACCCAGGCTACCATATGCTAATATTCTTATGGGGTTTCCCTTGTATGTGACTTCTCTTGCTCCTTTTAAGGTTCTTTCTTTATCTTTAACTTCTGACATTTTAATTATAATGTGTCTTGAGTGGATCTCTTTGGGTTCATCTTATTTGGAACTCTCTGGGCTTTCTGGATCCAAATGTCTCTTCTTCTTTAAGTTTAAAAAAAAAAGCTTTTAGCCATTATTTCTTCTAATGAGTGACTTTCTTTTGTCTTCTTCTGGGACCCCTAGAACGCAGATGTTATTCCACTTGATGCTGTCTTACATGTTCCTTCAGCTGTATTCATTTTTTAAAATTGTTTTTTCTTTTCGTTGCTCTGTTTAGGTGAGTTCCACTCCTGCGTCTTCCACTGATCCTTTTTTTTTCTAGTCTGATGTTGAATCTTGTAGTGTATTTTTCAGTTCAGTTATTGTCTCTTTCAGCTCTGTGACTTCTGTTTGGTAATTTCTTATATTTTCTGTTTCTTTGTTAAAATTTTCACTGTGTTCATTCATTCTCTTGAGTTCAGTGAACATCTTTATGATGGTGACTTTGAACTTTTTATCAGGTAAATTACTTATCATCCGTTAAGATTTTTTTCTGGAATTTTATCTTGTTCTTTTGTTTGGAACATATTCCTCTGTTTTCTCATTTTGCTTGACTCTGTATTAGTTTCTGTGTATTAAGTGAAACAGCTACCTCTCACAGTCTAGAAGAAGTGGCCTTGTGTAGGAGATAAACATTATTGTTCAACCTTGCCTTAGCTTTTGGCTGTCTCTTGAACCTTTGTGATTGTCTAAGCAGCCTGATTTATTCTTGATAAG